CAGTATGTAGGCTTTTCAGGTTGGCTTCTTTCACTTAATGATATGCACTTAAGGTCCTTATTTTGTATGGCTTGATAGCTTACTTCTTTTTAGCCTTCAATAGTCCATTATCTGCATATGCACCTGTCTATTTATCCATTCACCTACTGAAGAATATCTTGGTTACTTCTAAGTTTTGGCAATTATGAAGAAAGTGGCCATAAATATCCATGTGAAGGTTTTTGTGTAGATACTTATTATGTTACCTATTTGGGTAAATACTAAGGAGTGTGTTTGCTGGATCATATGGTAAAAGTACATTTAGGTTTATAAAAAACTGCCTCTCCATCTTCCAAAGAGACTATACCATTTTGTATTCCCATCAGCTATCAATGAGAGTTCCCATTGCTCCACAACCTCACCAGCATTTGGTGTTATCAGTATTTTAGATTTTGGATGTTCTAATGGGTATGTAGTGATATCCCATGTTCTTTTTTAATGTAGGAAATTATAGGTTTCATAAATTTCCCTATCAGGACTTCTTAGATGCAGCCAATACATTCTGGCCTGTTGTACTTTTGTTTCTATCTCTGCAACCTCATCATACCCCTTTGCTCTCTGCCCACACAGGGCTATTCTCAAGTCTTTGCCTGCTTCATCCTCCCTCCTGCCACAGGGCCTTTGTATATGCCATTCCCTCTGTCTAAAACGTTCTTCTTCTTTTTTCTTCTTCCTTCTTCTTTCTTCTTTCTTCTTCTTCTCTTTCTCCTTCTTCTTCTCATTTCTCCTCCTCCTCCTCCTCTTAGCTAAATCTTCTGTATTTCTGAGATATTTTTCAAGCTTTACTTCCTCTTGAGGAAAGTTTTCTCCACTAGAGCCCTAATTATTATAAATTTATTATAGATTTGTTAGTATGGTTCCCTAATTAATGTTGGTCTCTTGTAGAATTTGTGAGAAAAAAATCCTATCTGTGTCGCCCTGGCCTCTGTCACAGTGTATGGGTAGAGAGGGCTACAATGAATGTTTGATGAATACAAAGACCAATCCCTCATCCTAGCCTCTGCTTCTGCCTTGGATGTGCTGCCCAGCCATGCTTCAGAGCAGAACCCCAGGCACACTCACCGCAGGGTCTCCAGGTGGCAGTGAGGACATCTCAGGGTCTCACTAAGACTCTGCACTGCAGAGTGGCTCAGCGAGTTTCCACTTAGGTCCAGCTCCTTCAGGCTTCCGGTGACTTCAAGAATGGAAAAGAGAAGCTGCCAACAGGCATCTGTGACTGGGACCTGCATGAAGCTGAGGGAGGGAGAGAGGGACAAGAGAGAGGTGATCTGTGTGTGGGGTCTCATGTGCACAGCTCTGCACAACACAATGGGCATTCAGTCTCCCTGAGCACCAGGCCACTGGGGGTAGTGCCATCCCCAGGACTGGCCAGCCTCCCCATCAGGCCCTCTGTCCCTACCACCTGGGCTTAGGGCTCCTCCTATATGTGGATCCTCATTCCACAGCCCCCACCCCCACCCCACATACACACACTACAGCGTACTGACATGCTCATTTTGTGTGTTTGTTTCTGCCTCAGCCTGGGAGTTCCTTTAGGGCTGGGGCAGACACTTGTCATCTTTTTTATCTGCAGTGCCCAAGATAGGGCCTGGGACAGAAGAAGAGCTTGGTGATTTGGACAGCCTTCCTCTCTTTGATGCAGACACGCCTGTTTTCTTTTGGTATAGATATTCTGGACTCCCAGTGCCCAGAAAGGAAAAGCGATGAGAGGTGGGCACAGAAGCTGGGAGAGGTGGTGTGAGAGTGAGTTTATGATGGATGGTTGTATGTGATCCTACATGTATGTACTGCTGTCTAGGTTGGCTCACGTGGGACCCTATCCCCTTCCAAGGACAGCAAGACCACAGAGAGGGTCTGCAGGAGGAGATGGCAAAGGGAACATTCTAGGAGAGGATATTTGCCAGCTGGAGAGGAAAGCATGATGGACTTTGAGAGTGTTGGAATAGACTCTGCCTTGTATAATTTCCACCCATTTAATTTCTTCATTTTTACACACTGCTTTAGTGACCTCATCTACTTCTTATGGTTCACTTCCTCAAGCTCTATCTCAAGTTTCAGACTCATCTTTCTATTTTCTCCCATCCGAGTGCTAACCAGGTCTGATCTTGTTTAACTTCCAAGATCAGGGTGGTATGGCTGTAAACCATACCGCTATGTTCTGGAGAGATAGCTCCCCTAACTTTTTGACTTAATACATTCCAATTTCTCTCCATCCTTAATCCAACGCCCCCCAAATCTGCAGAACTGTGTGGAGGCCTGGAATGGAGGCTGCATGGAACTGATGGAACTGGCTTCATGTCAGTTCCACTTCTCTGCCTTCCTGAGTCTCCTCAGGAGCAAAAAGAACAATCACGGTGTGTGCTGCAGGTCTCTGGGAGGGTGAAAAAACTTACAGAGAATCCCTAAAGTTTTAAGTTTCAACAGCTTCCAAAGTATAGCTGCTACAAATGTATCAAAGAAACCATCATTTGAAAGTTATTTGATTTTGTTTACATTTATTTAGTTTTGTGAAACTTCAAGAATACAGTTTTAATTTTGTATTGTAGTCAGCATTGCCATCTTTAATAAGACTTATCGAAATTAAAAATTAATTATTCAAAATGCACATTGCTTTATTATAAGTCACATACTTGGGAGCCTCCCACCTGCCATTTTCATTTCCTTAATATCTCTGATTGGTCCTCCTTTTCCTTCCCACGGCCTAACCAGTCTTCCTTATTTCTTCCTGGACCTTTTTGTTTGTTTACAGGAGACTCTTACTGTTCTCTCCACCTTGTCTATCTGACTCTGTGCCTTTAAAATTTTCCTTCCCACTTGCAGCTGAAGCCCCTGCCTTCCCCATGGATTCCCTCCAGACTCCGCTTGGGCCTGTGTGTCCTAAACTCTCTGGCTCTGGCCTGAGTTCCTGGTACCTTGTGCCTCCACATCAAGCCACTGCCACTTGCAACACCTGTATCCAAGTGTGTCAAGGCCTACTTCACTTTATTTTATTTTTTCACTTTTTTGAGACAGAGCTCTGTCACCCTATGTAGAGTGCTGTGGCATCATCATAGCTCCCAGTAACCTCAAACTCCTGGGTTTAAGTGATCCTAGTGCCTCAGCCTCCTGAGTACCTGGACTACAGGCTCAAACCACTACATCTGGTAAATTTTTCTATTCTTGCTAGTGACAGAGTCTCTCTCTTGCTCAGGCTGGTCTCAAACTGACCTCATGTGATCCTCTTGCCTTGACCTCCCAGAATGTTGGGATTACAGGTAAGAGCTACCTGGCCCTACTTCACATTTATAACTATGGACAATTAGAAATAACCTAAAATGGGCAAGAATAGTGGAATGACCTAATCAGCTATGGCCCTTTCCCCGTGGAATATCATGTGGTCATTCAAACGGGGTTGTATCAGATTACTTAACACAGGAATATAACCTTGATATATGAAGCAAATAAAGCTGATGTAAAATAAAAATGTATGGTAGGGAATAATTTTACCATAGAAATGTGCATGGAAGAAAGGCTAGAATTCTTAGAATTGATCATTCATTCTTAATGATGGTCATCTCTGAGTGATGGAATTCTAGTTTATATTAATTTTCATCTTTTTTATCTATTCTTATTTTTCTACAATGAATATGAGTTGTATTGTGAGAAAAAAAAACTTGAAAAATCTGAAAATAAAAGACCTTAATCTAACATTTCTTCCTCTGAGAATTTTTTCTTTCGTGGTCCCTAGTGTGCTCACTTTCTTCCCTGGGCTACAATAGTACCTTGTCCAGACCTTTAACACCTACAGTGAGGGATTAACACCAACAAGGGGTAACACTCTGTTGTCCTTATTGGATGAAGGTCTGTCTTCTCCCCCAGTCTTTGAGCCCATTAGGGCAGGGACTGTGCTTTTTAATCTGTGATCTATAGGGCCTGGCATAAGAGTACTAGAAATATTTATGGAATAAATAAATATTCTTTATTTACTTAAGAAATATTTATGGAAGGAGTCATCTGAAGAGGGAGAGGACCCACATCAGTACTCTGAGTAATACTGCAACAGAGGCAAGGGAAGTCAGGTGGGGAAGTTCTCAGTGTTGCTGGCCTGGAGGAGGATCAGAGAGAGATGCTCTCACATGCTCAGAGGGGGCTTCAGGTCGAGTGCCCCAATTGTGGGAACATGGACACAAACAAGGAGTCAGGTATGCTGGGAAAAATAGGGGACTTCTTTTCAGACCTGGATTCTGAGGTGCTGGGGGAAGATCTCAGGGTCAATGCCATTGCCACTGATTGTCCCTGCCTTGAGCAGCTGAGTGAGCAGTTTATCAGAGAGAAAGCATGTGGGTAGAGGCACAGGGGCAGGGGGGTGCCCTGTCCCTTGGGGATAGCTAAGGTCAACATGAAGGGGGAGTGTATCTAGGAGAGAAGGTGAGCACTAATCCTAGGGGTAGAAGAAAGGCCAAAGGTCAAGGTGGGGCCCCGCCAGACCTCCTTTCAGAAGCAAGCACGGCCTGTCCCATAGTAGGTGAGAATGCTGGTCAGATTGTGCAGACCATAATCCTTTAGCTCCCTCCCCAGGCTCAGTGAAGAGCCTTCAGTGCTCAGGACATTCGAACTCAGGGGATGGACCAAGAACTGGAGAGAGGAACATGTGGGTACTCACAGGACTACCCTGGCGGGCCTCCACCTTGGCCTGTGCTGTCCACCCTCATGCAGTTGAAGCCTCTTCACATAGTGGCAGAATTTGATGCAAAAAGTGAACACCAGGAGCTCCATGCCTGTTTGGACACACACGCTAGATGCTAGGAAATGACCTATCACCTGTGTCAGAAACTCTTCATCTTGAGTCTCGTACAAACAGTGGAACAACTCCAGAAAGCCAGGCTGCTGGGGAGACCGCAGGACCCAGCTCTCCCTCTTGGCCCATTTCACCAGCTCTTGCTTCAGCTCTGGAGCCTGCTGGCAGGTGAAGATGCTCTCCATCTCTCTCCCTGCCTGCTCACTTAAGAGGCCAAATAGGAAACGCCTTGTTGGTGCTCGGGACAGGTCGTGTGTTTTGTATGCTTGTAGCAAACCTCCAACACCTCTGATGCTGTTAGGATGTTCACCTCTCTCCTTCTCATCCCCCAAGGCACAGGACACTGCTGCAAAAAACTCCTGGAAACATCTGTGGATGAAGCAGTAGCCCCAGGAGTTGGGGTACTTTCGAAGAACACCCATTGTCACAAAAGTGGAGATGACGGGCCCATCTAACCCGTGTCTCCCGAAGTCATGTAGCCTAAAAAGGCTCCTTTTTCTCCAGATACCCTCAGCAGCCAGGGAGCAAATGCCTCTCAGGTGGTGCCCCAGGGGCTGAGCTGGAAGAGCCTGGGAGAGGTAGCGCAGGCAGAAGCCTGTGGCAGTTGGGGTGGTCAGTGTGAGATCCTCCCCCCTCTCCATCTGTTGCTTCAGGCAGGTGCAGACCAGCCAGGACAGCCAGGGCACGAGACACATAGTCCAGACTGCTGGGTTTGACTCAACCAAGCTGAGGGCTCTAAGTGCTTGGTTTTCATCTGTAAAATAATTGTAGAAATATTCCTTCCTGCTAGACTCAGAGAACCCCAGGACCTCCACCCAACGTGGCTGCTTCAGAGAAGGAATGAGCTTCTGCAGAGCCACAGTCCGAGTCGTGATCAGGAAGGATGCCTCGGGAAGTATGGTTTTCCCCAGCAAACTGCCCAGCAGCATGGCCACCTGCTGTGGCTGGCTCCAGTGTTGACAGAACTCAGTACTCTCCTGCCACAAGACCCATCTTGGCTCATCCACACCATCGAGGATGAAGAGCAGCTGCTCTGGCCGAGACAGAACCTGCTGAAGGGGAGCTGGAGGGGCCTCCTGGGCTTGTGTAATGAGCTCAGCGAGACTCATCACCTTGGACTGGGCCAGCTCTGCACAGCTGAAGTAGAAGACATGCTGGAAGCGGTCCTGGTACAGCCGGCCTTCCTCCCAGCCTCTCTGCACCTGCCTAGCCAGTGTTGACTTCCCAATTCCAGCAGCTCCATGCAGTATGACGATGCGAGGTTCTTCTTGGGTTCCTAGGCCTGAGGCAAATAAATCTCCAATCTCAATCAAATGTCCTAGATTCTCCACCACAGGGTTTTGTGTCTTCTTTATGACCAGAGACTCAAGGCCTCTGGGGTGAGGTCTTTGTAGAAGTAGCAGCTGTGTGAATTTTTTGTGCAAATCCTCATTTTTCCAGGACTGTGTGAAACACAGGTGCTCTCTCTTCTGGTTTTGGTGTCTTTTCCCTAGTACTAAGGGAGAGAAAGATATAGAAACATAAAGATATAGAAAGGATGTGTTCATTTTTCATTCATTCAACAACTGTTTTAGGCACTTACTCCAAGGCACACAGGGTACTGGCTGCAGAGATGGCTGTGTTCTTGCCAACTAGCTGAAGGAACACAGGCTTTGAGGTAGAAGGGCCCAGTTCAAGTCTTGACTGAACCAAGCCATCCTCCCTACATGACTTTCCTTCTTCAAATGTTTATCAAGGGCTTTCTGTGAGTCAAGTGCTGCTGCTGCTATACGGGCTGGGGATAAAGAGTGAACAAAACACATACTCTCTGTCCTCATTAAACTTATGGCTTGGCCTATTAGCTCCTGAGCCTCGGTTTTCTCATGTGTAAGTGGGGCTGTAAGATCTCCCTGCAGGAGGTCATGCAGGGTGCAGGAGATAATGACAGTGTTGGAGATGCTGGGGGGTCCTGACAGCATCCCCCTCAGCTCCCACCACTGCAGTACCTCCCAATGCTGTCCTTCTGCAGCACTTGTGATGGTCAGTCTGTGGGCTCTCTTGGCCCACAAGTGGGTGGGCCAGAAACACTGGGGAGTTAAGACTCCAGGAGGAGTCCTCAGAGGACAATGGATGGGGATCCCTTGTCCCAGAACAGACACCCCAAGGTGTGTCCACACTCTCTCCTGGTCATCCTGGCCACATGTTTACAGGGACGACCTGTTCCATAGGGCATCTCTGGGCTTCCCCTTCCCTATCTCACTTCTCCCCAGTAAAATACTTGCAAGCAAATCCTGTGTCAGGTTCTGCTTCTGAGGGATTCCAACCTAAGACAGAAGGGGAGAGGCCTCTGAGCTCACAGAGGGGACTGTCCCCTAGGGAGGGACTTCAGGCTCCCACATTAGATTCTAAATAGTACAATTGCTACAAACCCTTCCTGCTTTCCTTTCTTTCCCTTCCCAATACCTTGAGTGCCTCTCACTTTTCTCTTATTCCATTATCAAGAATATTATTTTGTTCAAGTTCTTCACTTGGAAAATTCCCTTAGAATTTAGAATCAAGAAAAAGTGCATTTCTCTTGAATTGATCTTTTCTCTTCTATTGAGTAATAGGTATTATGTAACCATTGTACTTCCCTTTTTGTCCTGGTTGCTAGGATGCTCAGAGGCAATGGAAACTTCAATTATAGCAACTGACTAGTCCTTGTGGCTTTCATATTTGCTGTTTTTCACTTTTAAGATTATTGCAGTCTAGTAAAGTTATGGTATTTGTATGTTTCTGTAAGAGGCCTCTAATCTTTCTTTTCCCCCTTCCTTTCCTCTTTCTTTTCTTTTTTTGAATGGGAAGTGGTGTGACTAATTAAGCCATTGATATACTTTGAGCCTGGGCCCTATTTTAGGACCACGAATTCTACAAGTTTACTCTTCCCTGGGTACAGAAGAACTCCTTTTAACATAACATCTCTCAGATTTCAAAGGGGACCTCTCCTAGTGCATTTACTTAGAGGCAGTAGAGTTTAGTGGGTAAGGCCATGGCATCACGGGCCCGTATACCTGAGGCAGAGGGAGTAAGATGTATGAGTTGAAAGTGTGTCTTGGGAGTCAGAGAGACTGAAGTCTGAATGCCTTTTCTGCCACTACTAACAAGAAGACTTTCCTTCTTGAGCCCTCATTTTTTCATTTCCAAGGTGAGATAATAACAATATATCATGGGGTGGCTGTACAATTTAAGCACAATAGACAAGTGTAATAGCAGGCCCAAGGCCTGACACAGAGGACGTCCACCAAACACTATGGGCGTGCGACTTGCTCTGTGCTTCCCAGGGAGGGAGAAGCTCAGTGGAAATAAAATCCAGCTGTCCTAACCCCTGATCAGTGCCTTGTCCACTAAACTGGGTGATGTGTTTCCTGTGTTAGAAGAGGCACCTCCATTTTAAGGGTTGGGGCCTTCTGGAAACAGTGCCTTGGTCTGTGGAGACTCCATAGTAGGATTTCTGAAAGCAATTTCAGATTTGTCCTAGGTCTTTCATGTTCAGCCTGTCAACCTGGCCCCAAGGGCATTTTCTTTTCTTGGAGGAGCAGGGCAGTTGGACATTTTTTAGCTCAAGCTGTGTTCTGTAGCAGCCAGAAACCCCTGTAGGCTGCTCTTCCCACCCTCCTGCACCACACCCAGGACCAACTATAAAAGGACCCTCTTACTCTCTCCTCCCCACCCAATCTCATCCCAGATATCCCCCAGCTCTTCTCTCCTCTCATGAAAAGGCAGGGTCCTAAGGAAACAATTAACCAATCAGTATCCAGTGAAGTTCCCATTTTTCCATAGCACAAAAGTTTTGGCAGGTGGGAGCAATCTGTGGTCTCAGAAGTGGAATTCTGCTATGGTTCCAGATTTGGACCAGGAGCAGAGAAGACAGGGTGGATCTACCCCAAGAAACTCTTGGTCAGGTGTCCCCACAGGGAACTCTTGGTCCGTGCCTTTGCCACCCCTCTCCATGAGCTCAGCAAGGTCTTACTTGTGAAATACTTTTCAGAAGTTTCAGCCAGAGGCCACTCAGCTCCAGGAGACTCCTGCTTTCTGGGCTCTGGGTTGGGCTGAGGTGGGGATTTTCCACCCCTGAGCACTGCTGTGGATGTGGGGGTGTTGGGTGACTCCTGGCTTGGAGACTGCTGGTCTGGAGAGCTTGGAAGAGCTTGGTAGAAAGGCAGGTAAGGGTTTTCTATGAGGGAATGACAAGAAAGAAATGACAATTTTATTTTAGGTGCCTACTGTTGGAACTCTCACAACTGGGTTTTGGTAATACTACTCTTAAAGCCATATAAATGTAACGAAATGATTTTATTCTCTTAGTAGCTGCTCTGAAAGTTCTCAGTAGGAATACTGTGTATTAGATATAAAAAATATGTTGTTTTTTGAGACAGAGTCTCTCTCTGTTGCATGGGCTAGGGTTCAACCAGTATCTACCTAGCTCACTGCAGACTCTAACTCCTAGGCTCAATCAATCGTCCCACCTCAGCCTCACATAGCTTGGACTATAGGTATCCAGCCTGAGGGAGGAAGATCTTAATAAACCACTTGGAGAGTTGAGCTCCTCATTTTGTGTAAAAATAAATAGTTACTAAGTGGCATTCCAAAGAGGGTGGGTTTTCTTTACCATAAGGCAGCTGCTTTGCTAGGCACTGAAATGGAAGCTATGCAAGTTGGGGGCAGAGCAGAATTGCTCTGGGTCACAGAGAAGGGAAGAGCCAGTAAGACTGGGTACTACAGGGGGAAGGACAAGAAAGAGAAAAATGCTGGTGGGGGCATAGGAGGACCCCTTTGTGGGGAGAGATGTGAATAGTTTGACATATCTGTTACAATGTCTGCGGTAGAATTTACATCACACACTTGAACTTTATAGTGCAAGTAGATTTTTTGTGCATCACTCAGAGAAGAATAAATTCTGTACTGTGGAGTGGGAGGTGGCATGGGGAGTGAAAAGTCAGTAGTACTATGAAGGCTCAGAGGAGGAAAATGAAACAGAGGGCTGGAGAGATTTGTTTCATGGCACATGGCAAGCTGGTGAAGTCAGGGTGAAAACTGAGGTCAGTAGAGTCTGGGCTTGTGACGGTCATGAAGATTTGGGGGGTGGGTGAGAATGGGTACCCAATGGATGAGAAGGAAGGGAAACAGAAGGGGCTAGGTGGGAACTGTCACAAAGCAGCAGCAGGCTGAGGAGGAAATCCCTGCACCAGGAATGCATTGTTCTCAGTAACTCTTGCTCTGCCACTAAATGGTGAGTGAACTTGCACTAATGAGCTGCTCTCTCTATCCTTCTGCTTTGGGAAGAGGTGGCCACTTTGATGCTGGCATGAGAAGTGGAAGAGGCAAGGGTGTAGCTGAGGTTTGCAGCCTGGGTGATTCAGAGACCAAAATAAGGGAAATCTGGGGAGGGAAGTGGGTTGGGCTGAGAAATGAGCCTCACCTCTTCTTGGGGCCCATCTGGAGAACAGAGTCCTCTTGAATCTCTGTACCACCCTGACCCCAAGGATCTTCAGAGTCCACCAAGATTGTGAGCTGAACTCTGCTTGGGCAAGGACCATGCCACACATGACACCCACCTGGGTGAGACACACTGCCTGACCTACATGGCTCTCAGTTTCCCCATCTGTCAAATGGGGAGGGAATATAATCTCAATATTTGCAGGTCTCTGAAAGATATTTTGGGGGCTACTGCCTCTTATCACCCCACCCTGGCTCCTCCACACTTCCTCTGCTGTCCTCTATTCCAGGTCCCCTCGTAGCTACATGCTCACCCAACTGGAGATCCACTGGTTGACTCATAGCCCTACCCAGGGCTCTCAGCCCAGCTAAAGAAGCCTCACCTTTCCAGTGACGTCGAGATGTGTCAGTCAGCTGGTCAGAAGTCCTCCTTTCTGAGTGCTGGGTGTACCCCAGGTATCCAATTTTCTCTAGGACTCTAGAGTCAAAGGACTCCTGCATGACAGCAGGACTGGGTGGGTTGGGGGACTCCAGGTTGGGTATACTGGGGGAGCAGAGGGATGGGAGGTCATCACCTGCGGGAAGGAGACAGAAAGGTTGGGGATATGTCAGAGGGGCAGGGGCAGAAGCCAGAAGACTGAGGCCATGGCTCTTCATATTAAGCAGGTCTCCTGTCTCAGCCAAGAGAGGTCAGGAAAAGCCAGAGAACCCACTGCAGCCCTCCACAATCTTTTCCATGGGCTCATCTGAAGAATGATTCTCTGATGGACACTGCTGGGCAAAAAGTACTGGTCTGGAATTCAGGAAACTTGCATATCTGTCCTTGTTCTGACCCTACTCCCTGTGTATGTCACTATTCTTCTCCCATTTGGGGCTCAGGGCCTCTGCCTCCCAGGGCTGCTAATAGTAATTATAGCAAAGGCAGCAGCAGCAATAGCAAGAAGAGCTCTTATTTATTGAGCATTTCTATACATCAGATTGTGTCAAATGTTTGCCATGGGTTAGTTCTCATGGGCTCCCTCACACAGCCCAAAGAGGTGGGCTCTTACTCTCCCATTTTATAGATGGAGAAATAGAGGCAGAGAGCAGTGAAGTGATTTGCTCAGGGTGGCAGTGCCAGGGCTGAAACCTGCCTCTGCCTGAGTCTGTGCCCATCACTGTACTGCTAGGAAAATCCTCTTCCTGGGAGCTGGGCCTGAAGTCCATGCCCACCCTTCCTGGCACCCTTTTGGATGTCTCTGCATCTCCCTCCCAGGCACAGTGAATACTACAAGGGTGGGGGAGATGCATTTGAATAGAAGAGGATGTGGAGCTCTGGGACCCAGCAAGGGCCCCCAGGTCCAGCTTAATCTTTGTCAGGTTGGTCCCAAGTCACTGTCCAGCAGCAGACCTAGCAGGGAGGGTGCAGTGATATTGGTGGTCCCTAGGGAGGAAGAGTGGGGTCCTGGAGGACTATAGCAGGCAAAGGGGCCCATTGTCCACTCACCTGACAACAAGGCCAACTCTGCCTGGGCCCGAGCACAGAATGAGTTCAGGCCCATCTGCCTCCAGGTTTGCAGAGCCAGATCCCAGGCCTGCTGCTGCCCATACTGAGCCACCAGGCGTGAGGCCACCTCCATGCCACTCATCTTCTCTGGTGGAACAGCTGCTGCACTGGAAGGCCCCTGAAAGGATGCTTCACTGGACAGCTGAAGCTGGAACTCCTTCAGCTCCTCCTTCTTCAGCAGCTCCAAGTAGTAGCCCAGCTGCCAATGGGCTCCGCTGGCCATGTCTGTCCCAGAGTAGGGCACTGGGAGATGTTCAGGTGGATGGGTGGGGAGGGGTGTTGGTTAGGTAAAGAACAGTGGTCTCCTTTGCCTTGGCTCTACCATCTCCCATTGTGAGACTCCCATTGGGGTCATTACTCTGGGCTTGGTAAATTCTTCAGCATTCACACCAGTTTTGTAAGCCCCAGGGCATCTGCCAGGAGATGATGTTGGCAGGGGTGAGGGGAAGGGAAGTATTAGGAAAAGGTATGAAAGGGAAGATCCTGGAGGGGACTGGGGAATGCTGGAAGAAGTCAGGTTACGTGCGGGTGCAGGGGGCAGGCCCAGGGCTCAGCAGGCGGGGTGACGGGAGTGGGGATGGGACAGTAGGGGATAGGGTGTGGGTGACACTCACGGTTCTGTGGTCCTCAGATTCTTCCCTCTCCTGGGCCCTGGACTCCTGGGATTAATCTTTGAGTTGCAAGATGGGCAGGAGGTGGTCTGGGAGAGGCAAGGCAGTGAGTGGACTTACAGGGTCCCCCGTCTCTTCAGACCTCTCTGGCCCTGGGATACTAACCAGTGAAAACAGTCCAGAGCCAGCCAGAGCAGGAAGAGAAAGTCACCCAGAGGAAACCCATGGGGGTGTGGCCAGAGGAGGGCGGCAGTGTCCTAGTACAGCCGCAGTAGAGCAGAGACTCAGAGCCAGATATCCAGAGGGGCAGTACGCACAGGCAGCCTGGGGGCACAGGCGGTAGCATGTGTAGATGCATAGGCACGCTTCTTCATGCAGACATTTGTCTGCCTGCAGAGTCAGGGGGCATGCTTTCCTGGCATGTGGCTGTGGGGCCCGGGCCCAAGCCCAGACCCAGGCCCAGGCTTTCAGGATGGGTGGGGCCCCCTTGTCTGCTTGGGCAGCTCCTTGTTGGGAAACATAAGAAGGAGCTCAGAGGGCATCCTTCCCAGGCTTTCATGATTTGGGGGGGCTTTCTGCCATGCTTTGAGGGGCCCTAAGAAGTGTATCTCAGGCCAGGGTGTTGTGTGCTTTGTGGGCAGCCTGGCACTCAGCTAGTAAACATTTCCACCTGAAAGCGGAAGAGCCCCCTTCAACCCCCATCACTGCAAAGCCAGGACTTCTTCCTCTTTTGTAGACTCAGCAGAGGTTGTGGTCTCCTCGTTGAGGAACGGCATTACCAACTTGTTTGCTGCTGTATAATAAAAAGCACCAGGAGTTTCTGGAGATGCTCTGATTTGACCTGAGCTGGTAGAGTCCAGGCTCCAGACCGTGGCTTATGTGGATACTTCCTCCTTGTTGGCTGATTCACTTCTCTGAGCCTCAGTTTGCTTGTCTGTTAAATGGGACATCATAGGTTTGCCAAGAGGCTCGAATTCAACAAAAGCTCTTAGTAGTCATTAAATATATTGGATAAGTGTTAGTTTTGTTTAATGGCAGATAAACACATTGTAAGATGTTCTAGCATCAGACTCCCTGAAGGAGAAAGCCTTGCTCCAAAATCCGGGATGACCAGAGTGGTCTGAGTCCTCTGTGAAGGACCCTGAGACTCCTGTGGGGTGGAGGAATGTCTGGGGGAGGGGTGGGAGGACTGTTTTTTTCTTCATAATACCAACGAGTTCTGACCCCAAACGCTCTGGATACCAGCCAGAGGTGCCACAGTTCAATTCATGTCTGACATTGACTGCCTAGAGTTGGCATCAGACCCTGTTGAGCAGGTTTAAGGCTCAGTCTCACAAAACTGCCCTCACTTTTTTTTTTTTTAGACAGAGTCTCACTATATCACCCTCAGTATAGTGCCATGGCGTAACAGCTCATAGGAACCTCAAACTCTTGAGCTTAAGTGATTCTCTTGCCTCAGCCTCTCACATAGCTGGGATTATAGGGACCCACCACAACTCCCAGTTATTTTATTGTTGCAGCCCTAGTGTGTGCGGCCAGTGCCCTAAGCACTGAGCTATGGGCGTTTCCACAGACCTGCCTCCGATTCAGTACTTTGCTAGAGCAACTCACAGGACTCAGGACAGCATTTTACTTACTAAAACTAGTTTATGATAAGGATCCAATTTAGGAACAGCCAAATAGAAGAGATGTGTGATGGGGCAAGGATGCCCGGGGAGGGGTGCAGAGCTTCCTTGCCCTCTCTGGGCACACCCTCCTCCCTGGACCTCCACCTGTTCACTACCTAGAAGCTCTCTAGATCCCAAACTATAGGTGTGAAACTGTAGGGGTTTTTACAGAGGCTTTACATCATAGGCAGGACTAATTGGGCCTGGGTGATCAACTCAACTTTCAGCCTCTCTTCCCTCCCTGGAGGTTGTGAGGTAGGGTAAAATTTCCAACCCTCTAATCCTGCCATGGGCTTTCTGATGACCAGCCCCCATCCTGAAGCCATTTGAGGGCCTCCAGCCACCAGACATCTCAGTCGTGTGCAGAAGATACTCAGTGCTCTGTTGACTCCATGGGTTTTAGGAGTTATGTGCCAGGAATTGGAGGCAAAGACCTAACACATTATTTATCTTATATTACATCTATAGGAGGGTCCCTAGAATTCTGAACATGTGAGAAACTCCATGTCTGGAGGCCAAGGCCAGGCAGAGGGAGGCTTCTCCAGTGCACGTCCCTGGCTACTGCCCCAGCCATGCAGAATCCTTAGCTGCCCACTCACCGGCCCACAATTGTCCTGGGGTGTTTCTGACCTGTGGACATGAACATCTGAGCCTTTGTGCCCCTAAGCTATCTGACGTGGAGTCTGGGAATCCTGGACTAAACTGTCAGTTTAGGGCATACCAAGATTGAAGGCTAGCAGAAAAGGGTGTGGAGGCCCAGAGAAGCAAGGAGACCTGGTCAGATCACAGTGCAGGTCAGTGTCCAAGGGCCCTTCCTCTTCTAGTCCACTCTAGTTCTAGGTCGGCAGGATTCAGAGAGAAGGAATGTAGGATTTGGAGTCAGATGGTACAGTTCTGCCTTTTACAGAACTGAGGTAAGTCATTTAACTTGCTAGGCTTCGGTATCTACATCTGTTAAATGGGATAATAATTACCTACTTCAACAATACCCACTTAACTTGCTAGACCTTGGTATCTACATCTGTAAAATGGGATAATTATACCTACTTCAAATAATGCCTGCAAATGTAGTAGGCACAGTTGCAGGCACTTAGTAGGTGCTTGACACGGAACAACTTATCCCCCTTTTAAAAAATTTGCCTTCCAGAATCTCATTCTTTTAGGATCAACCCAAGTGGCACCTCCTACAACTCATTATGCACAATCCTGGATGCCCGCCCTCCGTTCAGCCATCTGTCCCTGGAGGCTGGGTAGTACAATGGAAATCCGAAGGGCTTTGGAGCTGAGGGGTCTGGGTTCTAATGCTGGCTCTTCCACTTGTTGACTGTGACCTTGGACAATACGTGCCTCTCTGTATTTTTCTTTACAGTGAGGAAAGAATAGCCAAGTCCCAAAGTCCTTGTGAGGGTTAGATGAACAAACATGAATGTGCCTAGGGTGGGACCTGGATGTACACAGCAGAGGGTCCAGAAACTCAGTTACCTTCTCCTGCTCTTAAGATCCTGGGTTCCTTGGAGGCAGGTAGCTGTCTTGCCTTCCTGGCATCTAGAAAGGTAGCTCAATGTGAGTATTCAAGTAATATAATTAATGAAAGCATAATTTAAATATTACTGTTAAATTTAATCTTGCAAGTAACTTGTGGATACAGGTTCATTGTTTAAAAATCTAAGTAATAGACATTGCTCCTCTACTTCCCCAGTCCCAGACCCCTCCAGAGAGGTGATGGGTATTCCCAGCACTTTGTATGCCCTCACGTGCGAGCGTGTGCTTGCACACACGTGCACTTTTTTTTCTCACACACATACCGTTTTGCACCACCCTTTAAAATGGCCATGCTCACATTGACATCTGGCAGCGGAGGGATATTGCCCTTCCCACCTGGCCATCGTGGGCCCCCGGCCATCCTGGACCCGGCCAACATGGAGGACTTACTGCTGTTTTAGCCTGAACTCTGTAAGGAAGGTGGTAGAGTAGACATGAATGTTGACTGGGTTTTGTTCCCTGGCTTTGTTCCCAGACCCTTCCTCTCCTCTGGCTGCACTCACTCCCCTGGGGACTGAAGACAGAGAACTCCCACATTTGCATCTGTGATCTCCAGGTTCTTTATGCAACACTTCCTTGGGCATGTGGCTCGGTCTCCCCCGAACCTCCTCTCTCCCCTCAGCCTTCCCTGCTCATGAACTTCTCATTTCCATAAATAAATGCAGGGTCCAGAACATCAGGCCATCTTTGTATCCTCTCATTCTCTCAAACCTCACACCTGATCTCCCAGCAACAGCCCCTACGCTGTCTTTTACATCCATGGGGAGCCTGACCCTTCTCACCCTACTGCTGATGTTGACACCACGGATCCAGCCCTCCACTGGCTCTTACCAGGATCACTGTGGTGACTCCTGACTTTCCCCTGGCATTGACATTGCCCCTTTACTGTTTACTCTCAGTCCAGCAGCCTGAATAATCCATTATACCGTAAGTCAGGTCAGGTCACTTCTCACCTCAAAACCTTCCACTACTCCCAGTCTGACACCAAGTAAGAACCTCAGGCCTCCCAGTGGCTCAGCAGGACCTGTGGGATGTGGTCCCCGTATCTCTCTGGCATTATCTCCTGCCTCTCCTCCCGGTCATATTTGTTTGGGTTCTCTTGGTTGCCTTTCTATTAGTTGAACACAGCAACAACACCCTCACCTCAGGCCCTTTGCACTGGCTTTCGTATTCTTTTGGAATGATGTTTGCCAGATACCCAGAGGTTTGCTACCCAGCCTTCTCCAATGGCCACTACAGAGGCTACTCCTTGCTGTATTTTTCTGCAGGACACTTTATCACCTGACATTATAGACTGGTTTATTTATTTGCTTTCCATCACCTCCACCTGCCATTAGAAAGTTATCTAATTTAAGTCCCTGAAGATGAGACTTAGCTTGTTTTGTACAGTGTTGTATCCACAA